CGTGATGAAGACAGAAAATTTCGAAGGGACCGGTTAGGTAGATTTTGTGACATTTCTTGTGCAGTTATACTTCGATACTCTTTTGCGTTACGTGTTATCAGAGACATTCTGTGGAGCAGTTGGTTCAGTAAAAGTTATGGACCAAAAGACACTCGTTAAGCTCGGATGAAGTTATAAGGTGCGTACAACCGTGTATATATAAACACTTGGAGAGTTTACTAGACACGAGTTCACAAATCTTCGATTGGAAACCTTGCCAGACACTCTTTCTCTCTCCTTGACCGGAATAAGACTCAGCCCGAAATAAGCAAGACGAGTGAACAACGGCTAGCTTATCACTAGCAGAACGATGGACGATTACAGAAATTCGCCGACAATCAAATTCTGTGCTGACTTATTTCCTGCTCACAGATGTCCTTCCGTTTTAAAGCCGCTCGATGATCCCACCCGTCTTCTTCTTCGCTGCTGTCGCTGAAGTTTAGGCCACCGTTCTTCCGATGTTAAGTCTTCAACGGCAAGGATTTCCAGTCACCTGTCGAATCGGGCACTGTTGTGTTTGCAGCCCGCTAGCGCTGTTGTTTGCCCCAGACATACTTTGCAATTCGCCAACAGTAAACAGAGGATGAATAAAATTAGCCCAAAGCCCTGTCACAAAAAATGTAGGTCTGCAAATCTTCGAGTCTGCAAGTCTGCTAGTCTGCAAGTCTGCAAGTCTGCAAGTCTGCAGTCTGCGTTTGTCGCACACCGCCTCAAGATACGAGAACTTGGTAATAGGCGACACATGTACATCTGCCGAGTCGATTTCCGCCTTGAATTGGTTCCAAAATCGTGGCCCGTCTGTGTGCGTGCCATTAAACTTTGTAATTACGAGTTTCGGCAGCTTCGCGTGGATTGATTGTTCCTTATCGTTTAGATTTTTCCGATTTTCCTCTATTTGCATTTCGTACTTGAGTTTTGGCTCCAACTTCGCCTTTTCAAATTGCATTTCTTCCTGATATTCTCGTTCTCTGATCTCTGCGGCCTGGTCCTCTGCTACTTTCTTCGCGGCTTGAAGTGACGCGCTCTTTAATTCCTTGATCCTTGCGTCTAGGTCATTAACAGCCATTTTAAACACACCTACGTCTCCTTCCAATTTCGAATTCCAAAGGAGGATTTCGTCTTCTTGGTGTCCCGCTCCAAATCGTAGTTCTTGTACTGTTAAGTTTCTCATTTAGTTTTCATTATTTTTAGTTTCATTTCATTTCTAGTGTTTCATTAACGTCATTGCTTTGTTTCTAATACTCCCCCTAGATAGCTCTTATTTCAGTTGATTGCATGTTTTCGCATAATACAGTACAAGAATTAAGTTTTGTCTCATTTGGTTTCGTTTCGTTATTTGGAAGTTTTACTGTGTGGGTCAGATATGTAAGTAATCATTTTCGTTTCCTTTCGTAGATATTTTTGTTGATTTAGTCTTTAGGTTATTGATTTAGTACTTTATTTGTTAGACTGCAAGCAGTCCCTCTTCGGTCAGTCAAGTCTAAGCTCGGCAGGACTGGAGAGAGCGAATTGGCCGAGAGGGGAACTGGAAGCTTCCCCTCGGCTTTCGCTCACTTCGCTCGATTTCCTCGCTCGCGCTTTCCTCGCTCGCGTGACCATCCTAAGGGACTGCTCGCAGTCTATTTATTTGTCCCCTCGTGGGCATACATGTGTACATTTCGTAACAATTTTGCATATTTCGTTATTTACTATAGCATGGATATTTCAGTTACCTTTCTACTAATTTTATCGTCATCGAAAGTCAGTATATAAAGCGTTTTATTTAGGTTAACAGATGTATTTGTTAATTGTTTTCCATGCAACAATAAGATTCTTCATGTTCTTCCGCCTAGTCTGCTACACAGCCGTTTTTAGTGTCGCAGCGTTGCGTGACGACACTAAAAACGGCTGTGTAGCAGACTAGGTTCCGCCACCAGAATGCACAAGCTTGTACTTTGTCATTAAGCCTTTCGTACACAATTATGTTTTATCGTCTTTTGTTTCTATCGCTACTCGTTTATATTTTGATTTCCCCTATAAGTTAGTTCATTTAGTTGTATTTGTTTTTTAGTTTACGAGAATCATTGACCGTTGGTGGGAAATAAAATCAAGTTGATTACATCACATCATTTCATCGCCTGCAAGTTTTTGTTCTCCGTATTTAAATATCCCGGATCAGTTAGCGACACCATGGTTTGATCTGATAGTAAAGAACATGAGCGTCGCTTCGCTGCAACATGTACTTTCACCTTAAGGTCATGGACTTATTCCACCTTCATTGCTAAAGTGTTTCGCAGCATTTTCATCGATGTAAGGTTTCCATTCTCTGTCGCGCTACTTGCTTGCGAACGTGTAACCTTGAGTAGATGTAATTTTGCGTTGATCGCCTTGTTGAGGTCTTCGATTTTCTTTTCCATGTTATAGATTTCTCTGTGTCGTGGCAGGGTCGCCACTTTTGTCGTGAACGGGTTTGCGACAAATAATCACTCTCGATATGGTCTCGGGCATGTTAGGGCATGGGTCACCTCCTAATTTGCATAATTTGGCAAAGTGGCATTTGAAAGGGATTGTTTTGATCAGTCGTCATGAAACTTGGCAAACAGTTTGAGCTTCGTGGCCTTAACAATATGTGACATATTCATTGTTGAAATATTAGTCACGTGACCTGCAAATGCTCGTTAACGTTCAAAGTTTTCAAATTAAAACGGGGGAAAGGAAAAGAAAGAGCGGTAGATATTCTAAGGCACCAGTGTTTTTCCCATGGCCTGGATATTATGAAATAGCCCTGCATGTATGCCTAAGTGGAGCAGGGATTATTATAAATAATGGTAGACATTGCTCCACTGAGAAGAAGAAGAAACTCTAATGATCCTGTTCAAGTGCGAAATGTCCTGTAAAATTATTTCATATCTGATGCTAGATCTCTGCCGTGGCAGTGGGAGTATGTAAGAAGTAGGGGACCATTGAATTATTAACAGGGGTCCAGGGTTGGTTTTCCCTCTGTTCTTCTAAAAACACCTCACTCCATCATAAATGAAACAATAAGTAGGTGCAAGATATGCCTTTCCCGCCATTGACTGTTAAAGCCTTGGAACATTTGTCTAGAGTCAATTTTCTTACTAAAAAGTAAGAAAAGATTTCATTTCATTAATGTATTGTGTATTTAAGTCATGTAAAAAAGCAAACATAAAGGTATCATAAAAGCTCTATCATGCCCCCTCCCCCAAGATAGTGGTGCATTTTATTACTCACTGCAACTGCCATGTAGGTTTTCACGTTACTTATTGAACATTGAACAAAAAGTCAGCTGGGCACCGGCTTAATAGAGACTATATTTTTTTTGCTTTCAATGTTTCTGACATTTGAACCGACATGATATTACCCTGACCATAAAATGAAGGGCTTTATTGTATGCAGTTTAGAGTGCCAGGAATCAATAGAGCTCTTATTTGATTTAAAGGGTCTGTAAGGGAATTCCAAGATGTTGCATAGTTGTAGGTAATACAATCTCTGGATGTTGTGTTGTGTAGTACTGTACATTACAATGAAAGTAAATGAACTATGCGTTGGACTCGTGCATTAATAAAGATTTGTTTGTTAAATGATTAAACTGCCATGAGTAAGAAATTAAGTGCCCTCTGTAACACTGCCTGTTATTGTCAGTACCCATAACGACCATTGAGAACCTGGCACTATATTTATCTGCCATCACGTCACTCAACTGATAAACATAATTCATTGCCATGAATCTTGCAATCTTAGTGAATGTTTTTTCAGATTTTTGTGTTTCCATCACAAACCATCAAACTCACTGTTTGACTTGTTATCTCTGGATTGCAATTGAGTTGAAATTTGCTCAACTGCACACTTTTCTCAACAGAAATTGCAAGGATGGCATAATAACAACTAGTATTCTAAAAGGCTGAGAAGAGTTTGGCTTGTGGCTAAATAAGGCTCATCGACGCCAAGAGTTTGGTCTGTGACAATGAATCACTGACAACACTACTTTTAAATAAGTAAATTCCCACCTGCTTCTTTCCTTGTGCTTTCTAGTTCACAAAGTAGAGACAGCCTCGAGAAAAAGACCCAAAATATCGAAACAGCATTACTTTTTTTAACTACTTGACTGCAAAAAGCAACATGACTTTTGATTATCGAGTTAACAGTTGACAATAATATTTCAATAAATTCATATTTCAGAAACAGGAAGCAGCTGGAATAATAAAAAATAGCTGCACTAATAATATTAACAAACAACTTGCAAGCCAGAATTAATAATTCTTCTTACCAATGCCAAGGCAGCAGAACTAAAGCTGTTGCTTAGGCAGGAAGCACTAAGGCTGCTTTCTCATAGCAATAATTATACCCCAGCATGTCCATGGTACTGAAAGAAATAACCTGGAGGAAGTGTTTGAGCACTTTCTACATTCTAAGTTCAGATAATAACCTAAAGGAGTGTTGGGGAGGTGGGGGTGCCATATTTTGCCTCTCAGAATATTCCACATTGGCAGTTTCAGGATACCTGGCAGTTGCATAGCCAACAGTCTGACCTTCTGGTGAACTACTCTTTAGCAGGCAGTTAAAAATAATATTGTTTATTTCCATCTTGGTTGTCGAGCTCTCTTTGTTTGGCATCTTTCGCAACTGGCATGCAATAAGTTCCCCAAATAGGCTTTCTTCATCTTTCACTTCTCCTTTATTAACAAGGTGTTGTACTGTACTCTTTATAATATCCATCTCTGCCACTTCAATTCCTTTGGTTTTTTTAGGATGCTTGGCATGATGGTACTTTGGTCGGCCAGTGACTTTTGAGTTATTTAATGGATTTGATTTATCAGACAGTGAATGGTCTGGTGTGCTGCTTCTGTTAGAACAGCTGTCATCTGAAATAACTTCATCTTCAGGACCATGTTCTGTTGCATCTTCTACCACAACAAGGTTAGTGGTAGTTCACCTGGGTTGAATATATGGTTCAAGCCAAGCTAGAAACTGGTACATCTCACTCGTTTCAGTTTTGCATCAACCACTGACTGTGTGTCAGTTCCACTGACTTTAGCACTCTGTATTTTCTTCTTGTCTCGGGTGTATCTATTCCTTAAGTTTTTGAAAGCAGTTTCCGCATCTTTTCCTGCAAATTTTTAACACCCACATTCAATTACAATTCAGAAAACCTTATCCCTTTAAAGGCTGAAACCTCTGTAGATGTTTTCAGAGTTTTGTCTGTCATATCTTCTTAAAACACTCAAAATACTAAGACTATTCACATATCTATCTATATATATAGAAGAAGTACAATGTTTTATCAACTGAAGATTTGACTAGGCATTCTATTACTATATAGTTTCGTACTACATATAATTATATATCTGTCTGGATTTTTAAAAGGTACCTACAGAAATTTTAAGTGCCTTTTCACATTTTGACCCCTAGTTAGGGCTTAAAACGGGCAAATTTATCTCTGGCAACACACGACAAATTGCTCTTGGCAACAGCGACAGATTTGTAATGAAATGAACAACATTAAAAAACACAGAAATAATGACCTTTCAGTCTCTCAAACTATGAGGGTCATAGCGAAATGCCCGACTAAAACAGACCTAGAATCCACCTTTCTTGACCCCACAATCGGTTGTATAAGACAAAATCACTTCAACTAAACACTCACAAAGCATTTTCATGCTTGTACACAATATTCTTATAACACAAGCGCCATGACATACCTGAAATCTGTCTGTAAACAACTTCAGGAAATCACACAATTAACCACGTTCACGGCACTGATAAAGCTATCCACAACCAACCAGACACAATGTTTCCAGACTTAATACAAGAGAAATATCATCAATTTACTCCCTCTCAATAACTCTCTCTTTCTCCACATAAATCATCACATGTAAACTTAGCTAACACAGTCGATTTATTCAAGATCCCAGATGTAGATGAGCCGTTTTGAAAGGAACACATAGAGGCCGGCCTTCAAAACAATTTTTAACTAAGTCTCTGGCCTGGTTAGAAATCGGCTTCAATTTTGCTCTCGCCGAATAGATTTGACTCTTACAAACTACTTTTTGAGGCCAAAGACTCGTCACCGCCCGCATCAAAGCTCACAATATGATGCCTTTCCGTCTCAAGCCCGAGATCAGTGTTTCCCCCGTTTAGCGAAAATGAGACGAAATACGGTAACATACTGGACGACGGCAGACTTTCCCAATCGTGAGACTTGTTCCTTCATCAGGGTTAATGATGCCTTCCAGAAAACTTCGCTGCAGGCAGACAAAAAGAAATCTAGAAAATTAACCGACCAAGGAAAACAACTTCTACAGTGCATGATGATTTCAAACGTCATAGTGTTTTATGACAGGGAGAGAATCATGGGAAATGGTAGCTAGGGGAGACTAGGGGAGAGGGGGCGCAGGGGTGGGGAAGATGTAAACAGCATATTAAACACATCTTTTTTTACCCACTGCAGCTTCTTAGGGGATTTTTGTACTGAAAATATCATTTTAAAAAAAGAGAATGGTCAAGTACTGAACAAGCCTCAAATGAGCCTGGAGGTACCTTTTTGCAAATCCAGACAGATATATGTGTGTAACTATAAAATAAAAACGAAGTTGTTGAGATATGACTTATGTTATTCTAACACTATTTACAAACGCATATACTGCATGCAGAAATAAATGAATACTAAAATGTCTATCAAAAACTATAGTTGCAACTTGTGTAATAAACATCAGTTGAAATATACTGTCTAAAAACGGACAATGAAGGCAATCCTCTCACACCCTAAGGCAGAATATTTCATAATTAGGGCCAGTATTAGATACACGTTTCTTAGAAAACTATGATTCGAATGAACCAAACTACAGCAGGATCGGAAGCATGTCCAGCAAAATCCTGCATTACATATTACATGTATGACTTGTACCTGAGGGAAAACCGGCCTTTTGAGCAACGTCCTGCCACGCTAATTCCTTCTTGTTTCGCTCTTTGAAGTCTTGACACGCTTTATCATAAAGAACAGGATACACCCTGACGGTCTCCGCAAGCAACTCGTCCACCGTGATCGCACTAGCGTCCGCCATATTGCTCGTGATGTTTTCGCCTTAGGTCTGGGTCAAAGTGATCTATGATTGGTCCACGAAACACCGCGGCAAAACGCACTGCGCATGAGCACAAAATTTAACATCCGGTCAGCAGGGCTGAAAAACGACTGCGCATGCGTCAGGCGAGGCGCATTTCGATCGTTTGATCAATGAAAAGTATGGCGGTGAACGCGGCCGTTCCCAGGCAATGTTTGTTTACAAGATGGAACTGAGAGACGCAGTTTGTGAACGATTTCAGTCAACGGAAATTCTCTGACATGCTGAAAGGATTCTAGGGGAATGTTCGTCTATTAAGATAGTTTAAAGCTGGCGGACAAGTTCCTGAAAGCGTCCCTTCTTTGTGGAAACGATGGCAGCTCTTGGTGAGTAGGTTTGATTGATTTTATACACTTTAAAAATATAATCGAGTTATTATCAAGTGAACTCTCAATGGACGTAACATGATAAATTCCTTCCAATCATAGTTTTATTACATTTTGACTCCCAACCAAGCCCGCATGTAAACTGAGAGATAAACATGAGGAGCTTTGCTCAAGAAAAAAAATCTCAGCAGGCGCCGGAAATTGATGCCCTGGTACGCGATAGAAAGGTGTTTGCTTGGTGTCATAAAATTAATTAAGACCGGAACATAATAAGTAAACCAGACACCGAGTATCCGCGAGAGACGCGTCATTTGAGCGCGAGGCAAGGCGAGGAGCCAGCATCCTTCGCAACCGTTTTATTGCGGCGAGACCTTTCTGTTTAAAATGGAAAAGATTTTGATCATTCGAAATGTATCTTAAAAATAAAAGCTCACGTCATCTACACGTAGAAAGTAATTTACATGATAAACAAATCCAGATCGGACTGCCGGTGATTTGGATGGGGCACGCCAGGGTTAAAAGACATTACGTTAAAGCATTTTATATTTCCTTTGTCACTTTGATAAAATTTTTGAAGGAGCGACCCGTATTTCATGTGGAAATGTGTGACAAAGCGCCGCAAAAACTTGTTTCCAGTGCCGCTCAAATGAATGGACGGCAGCGTACATGTACGATTTTTTTTGTTTTTGAGGGTCAGGCAGCGATCATGCGATGTAACCGAGTTAAATTCTTACTAATTAATTAATATTCTACCTTAGACTTTCAAAGTTCAAAAGCGCTGTGGTTTTGATTTCGAAACCATTTGAAGTGAAGGCGACCGTCGACGGTATGAGTTTTCGTTTCCCATTTCGAGTCTGTCGAGGGTTACAACCCCCAAAAGCATTGGCATGCACTCAAAAAAGAAATATGTGGAGTCCGGTCGACGGGTTTCTCCAAAAATGAAATATTTAGGAGATTTCCTGACGAAAGACGTGGCAACGCGGGAACTTGAACCCGCCAAATCGGCCTATGCCGAAGTGGAATTCAACATGATGCCAGCTACTGTGTACGTCGCTTCCACGTTCGTTTGATCACTGATGTTCTTCGCCAGAATATCATTCCACCGGATGGCCTTGTAAATTCTGTTACGGACTTAAGTTACATATTAGTGATATTAGACTTGAGGTAAGTTTGTTTTTAGTCAAATTATTCCCAATACACTGTGAGGTATTTCTGTTTTCTGGTCACTTCAATTTCAAGAAATCATTTAGCTTTATTATTCTGTTTCTCTTCGGTAGTCAGTTTATTTATGGGCTTTTGTTATCTAATGGCAAAATCTAATTTTTATCATGCTTATTTTGTACTAACTCGTTTTGTTTCTCTTGGGTAGTCAGTTCATTTATGGGCTGTTGTTATCTGATGACAAAACCTAATTTTTATCATTATTATTTTAAACTAACTGGTACTGTTTCTCTTGAGTAGTCTGATGACAAGACCTAATTTTCATCACAGTTTTCATTTTGTACTAACTGGTTCTGTTTCTCTTGGGTAGTCAGTTCATTTATGGGCTGTTGTTATCTGATGACAGGACCTAATTTTCATCATTTTCATTTTGTAGTAACTGGTTCTGTTTCTCTTGGGTAGTCAGTTCATTTATGGGCTATTGTTATCTGATGACAGGACCTAATGTTCATCACAGTTTTCATTTTGTACTAACTGGTTCTGTTTCTCTTGGGTAGTCAGTTCATTTGTGGACTGTTGTTATCTGATGAGAGGACCTAATTTTCATCATTTTCATTTTGTACTAACTAGTTCTGTTTCGGATTATTATTATTTATTGTTTATTGCTATTATTATCAACATCATTATTGAGTGATTTAAAACTATTTTTCTTTGACACAGGGCTATAATTTGCAGAAGGTGATGGAGTGTACACTGATTTGCCTTAGTTTTCTTTCAGAAATTCACATAGAATTTACTTTAGTTACAATAATTGCTTGGGTAATAAGATAAACTTTCAGCGACACAATGTGACAAAATTGTTTTAACCAAAATCATGATAACACCATCAAAACGTTTTTATTATTAGTATTATTCGTTACATTCAAACGATGCTAATATATGTATGTAAAAATGAAATTATCTTGTCGCTTGTTACCGAGCTATCCGTACTGTAAAACGTCAAATGAAAAGTTATAACACTCACATGTCTATTAGTTTTTACAAATGATTTTGTCGATGAAAATCGACGACAAAAAATTCGCTTCTCTGGCTTAATGAAGAAGCTTGGGTTGCAAAAAAATGTGTTTGTAAAACACAACCGAGTCAATTATCGTACGTTAAATAAATCAAAGCATTACTTTAGCAAAATAGAATCTTAGGGTTTATGTTTCATTTTCAATTTCTCTTTAGTAACAGATATAAACCCCGCTCTCGTTAAGGCTTGGTTCTTGATCTTCGATTATCCCATTCGAGTGATAGTCATTTCTCTTGCTATCGCCTGCTATAATTATGGTTGTGCGATCAATAAAGAGCGGGTTTTTTTTACAGTAGAGCCATGCCTTGAATACTATTTCGCGTGAGAAGTAACAGTTGACGTGTGTCTCCACGCGAGTAAAGCCAACAAATGCGCGTCCGTATCTGGAAAACCTTTTTATTATGTCAAGAAATGTCTTATTTACACGTCTCGTGATTCCCACGCCGGGTGTTTTTGGATGCCGGCAAGTGCGAAAAAAGTAATTACCGAGGATTCCAAAGTAACACCTCAGTCGTATGAAGGCGCGAATTGTGATCTCCCGTTTCAGTTAATCATAAGCCATGGGTAGATTCAATCTACCCTTAGCCTAATTTGCATAATTTTTTTTGGTGAGCAAAGCCCGTCATGTGAAATCGCGCGGGAATTGAAGTCTTCATGAATAAACAAGCAAGCTTCACGTAAACAGATGGCATTAAAATATACCGTCTCGAGTTAATTGACAGTAATCCTTGTCATTGTTGACTTGTTCCTGTATAAGTACTTTCTTGGAAGTTTATAGAGGGGGTTTTCTGGTATGATTCATGGACCAAAGAAATAACTTCTACGAATTACGGATTTTTACTAAAATGTCATTTCAGGTTCAGTTATTGGCTATCAATTTGAGTCTTTCTCGGGCACGATCCACCTTTGGTCACAGGACACTAAATAATTATCTTATTGAATTCAGGATTCATGAATTTTATGAAAGCACCTCTGTACGGCCCTCTTTCTAGTTGAACGTCACGTTGGTGACAGTTCCAAGTGTGTATTGAAAGCCATTAATTCTCTTATACCAAGAGAGAAGTTCAAATGAATGCTGCCACTCTGTAAAGGCAACTTGGGCCCCACTGTTCCCATGAAAATGACTGTCTAAAAGAAAAATTCCCTGTGTTGTTGGAATAAAGACAACTGTGTTGGACCGTAAGATAAATACTGATGTTGTTCGCCCTTTGGCTAGAGCTTGTCTCCAGTAGTAAGGCAAAGAAGCTGTGGGATTCGTCTCAGGGACAATGCTAACAGGCAGTTCAGGTCCCACAGTAGTATTTCCAATGATGTTATTTAAACCACTAGAGGTTTGAAGTGCCTCCAACACACCAAATGTTCGAGGTATACTCGTTACTGAGTCATAGATAGAGTTCCCAGCCAAAATGCCTTGCACAACTATCTGATAGACCCATGTCTGACTTAGTGGACTCCCAGTTGCTGGAATGTTGACATTGGGTGAAAAAAACATTTTGCTAAATAAAAGGGCAATGAATGTGCATGCATTACTTCCTGTTCTTCCAAGGATTGTAGATTGAGAAATGATATGTGGGAAAGACCAGTAGGTGACATTACCATTGTGATAGGGTTGGATGGTAATGGGTGTGAAAACATGAGATGGGGTATTAGAGTTGGATTCATGTACTGTTGGCTGGGCTGAAGAGTGATTGTGGTTTGGATGGGATGGAAGAGGGATTGCTGCATAACTATTCACTGTGCTGTCAACCTTCGTAGCCCATTCTGCTGAGGAATAAAATGACTGAGCCTCTGTCACACTCATTGCTGCTGGTGTACTAATTCTTTCTTCTTCCTGAATGTCTTCATTACTTTCAAAAGTAAGAGTATCATGAGAAGTTAGCAGTCCAGTGTTGAATGTGTTCACTAATTTTTCCACCTTTTTCTTCAGTGGAACCAGACAGATCGGGCAACAATCATGCGATGAAATGCAAGATTGGTGAAAACAATGGAAGCAGGCCAATCTCATGACAGTACTTGTATCTCTTCTTGTGCATGTTGGATAATCACAGTAAACATTTGGGTCAGGTTCCAGGCCAGGTTCCACATCCTCCAAGTTATAACTCAGTGGAAAACACTTTGTGTCAACTATGGTGTCAAACGTTGGGAGATAATACTGTGGCTTTCCCTTTGGTCTTCCATTATTTGCAAGGGAGCGTTCGACCTAAAAAGACAAAACCAAATGAGGTCAGTAGAATATGAATACACTGAAGTGTACTTACATGTGTGTGCACAATGCATTTTGCATATTTTATTGTGCTTCTTTACTTTAGTTTTAGTTCACAACTTTGTTTTCTTACTCTGTGGATTGACTGTATAACTTTTTACCAATTCTTTTGATTATTAGAGCAAAAACTGATAATTACTTTTCAGATGAAGTAATGTCAGTGTCATCTCTTTTTCAGTTATTAAGAACATAGGGCCAGTTCCTTATCAAGCCGTATGGTACCTGTGTTATGGGCACCTTTAAAACTTTATAGTTCACTGTATTTACTTGCCAGAAACAATGTAATAATTATAAATAATTATTTGTGATATGTTTTTGCCTTAGGAGTGTTACCTGGTGTGATTTCTGACAGTTTCTTGAGACACTCCTGAACAGTTCAAGTAAGAATTCTGCTGTCTTCCCTGCGATAAGCCATAATTTTGGTTCAGCATGACCGCGGTGGTATTGAGGAACAAAGGACTGTATAAAATCATTTAAAAAACCTGATGATGCGATAGACTTTGCTGTGTCTTCAATGCTTTTTGCATCGTCAAACTTCTCAGTGTTTCTTCGCAGTACAGAGTGCCAAACTTCAACCTTCTTTTCTGTGATCAGTTTGAGAACACTTGCCTTCTTTGACCAGTACTCTGGAAGATGTTTGCACTGGTATGCACAATCACTCAAAAATGACAAGGTTGATTTGTCATAATGTCTCCTTTTCCAGCATATGAAAATTATAGCTATTTGTGCCATAAATTTCTCATACAACTTTAAGTCACCACTTCTGAAAATGTTATACTGGTAGAACACAAGGGGCAAAACATGTTCAAGCAAGTGTAGAATGGTGACAAATTCATGTTGCTTGCACTTTCCAAACTTTTCCAGTACCTTTTGTCGTATCAGTTGCCAACCAAGTAAGGCAGCAGTAACACACAGGGATGTCTGGTATGGTTTGGGTTTCGATGCCAAAGTACCTCCAAAACATACGAAAACAGTTTGTCAAAAAAAAATTTAAAATTCAAAAGAACATCTTCATAAGCATTCAGACACACATGAAATGGCCCTTGTTCTGGAATTATGCTAATGTTGGGATTCCATCCACTTGCTATCAGCTTTTTGGGATAGTACCACCCTGGCCAGTCAGCAGGCAATGGTACAACAAATTTCTTGCTGTACAGGTTAAGTTGAGGGCATTTGTTCAGTACACGTTCAAGGGCCATCTTGTAATGTTCCATGCTCTTTAAATCTTGTTGAAACTCATCAACTAGCATACAAGTCTCGAGCGTCTCAATGTCTTGTGTTGTTGGATCTGAGTACACCCTGTTCAACAGACAGACATTACAGATATTTACAATTTCATTGCAATTATTAAGTAAAAAATTTTTTTTGCTGTTAACCTGTTGTCTTTCTCTTTTGTAATAGACATTTTTCTGTGATAAATGGGTAACAAATAAGACTAATGTGTACCTTAGTTCATGTAGTGCTGTTTGTAGTCTTCCTGGATCAAGGCTTTGCATGTAACTTGGTAGCTGGTCCCAGAACTGTTTATTCATATTCCTTAATGAGTTTGTTATTGTTTGCAAGACATTGTTAATGTCAATTCCGCCAGCACAGGTCCTCTGCTCTCCATTTACATTTATTGTCACTTGTCTGTGTAAGGGAAATGCAGGCCTAGGGACTGCATGAACTGATGGATGAACATCTGCCAAACAGGATGCCATGTGAATGACATTTGTCCGTACCAACTGTGATGGTGTATGGAGTGAGTGGATGTTGTGGAAGTCATCAAGCATTAAAACTATAAAGCATTGCGGCTGTTAAGAAAGACAAAAAGCAAAATTAAACACAACACACATAAACTGTTGTGTTAATGTTATTTACTGTATCAGGAGATTTCATGATGATTCTCTTTGTTTCAAAGCTTTTTCTTGGGCAATTGGTACACAACTTTTAGATATTAGATATATTTACACCCAAGGGACTCACCTCATTTACCCTGTGAAATTGTTGACAAATGAAGCTTGTGTGTTGTACAGTCAAATTAGTTTTTAACTGCTGTATTGTCCTGGGGGTTGTGCTGTATCCCAACACCTGGCCAGAAGATAGTCCCCGTAATGACATGCCACAGTTGGATGCATGCAGTCCGCTGTCCTTCTGTAGGGCAGACGTTTTTTGTGATCTGTGACAAATAAAACAAATGTTATTATACCAGTTATAAATGACTGTGTGCAAAATTATATCCCAGATCACTAAACTCAAAGTACATACCTAAAATAAGCCAGGATGTGAAGTAAAGCCACTACTCTCTGCTCTTGCAGCTTTCTTCTGTTCTCAGACAGGCTTTTACCTCCTGTAACACAGGTAAGAAGATCTTGAAAGAGTCCGGGGCTGTTTTTATTCACAAACTGTTTCATGGAATCTGTATCATAAATCTTTATGTCAGGTGTGGTAACTTGGTGCCTGTAAAGAGCCTTTTGAAATTCCTCTAACTTCTTGTCAATTGTTGATTCTAAAATAAAGGAACCCAACCGTTTAATACAAAATGTGTTTTATGGGAAATGCAAAATAGTTGAGGGATGTAAAATTTAATTGTAGCAATGCAAAGTAAATTAGTTAAACCTGTTATTCCTGAGAGCTGTTGTTTCAGCATCTCCATTTGTGTTGTCAGGGTGTGACATTTTTCAGCCTCCTTTTGGTAAAGTTGGTAAAACTCTGTCTCCTTTTCCGTTAAACTGGTCATCATATCCATTTTCTATAAAGAATGTAACAAGAACATGTTGGGGAAAAGTACTTGTTACTGACTTGGTAAAATGTAAATGCAAACTAACCAGGGAATTGCCAATATTTACCTTACTTCGTTTTCTTCTTGCCATACCACTTTCTCCTTCTGTTTTTTTGTAAAACTTCCTTTTACAAGCATGGCACCACTTGCTCCCTGGTCGGAAGTTTTCGTTTTTTCGGCCGTAATTATCAATAATTCCATAATGTGTCGCTGGAATCTCTGTAAGTTTCTTTGAGTGCTTCTCTTGAAAGGGTGCAGAGCACCGATTGTCTTGGCTCTCGATCATCCGCAGATGTCTGAGGCAAACAATGGTGTGTTCCGGCAACTCTGCTGCTCTCGCTAACCCTGGTGGTAAGGGTTTGCTAGGGCCATAACAATCCTCTTTCGAGTTTCTGGTTCTACCAGAAAACCAACACCCAAAAACAGACGGCAAAATGACAATAAAAAGCCAACAAGGTGTTGTAAACATCGCCGATAATTTTCACTAATTAGCCGGGTTCGCAACTTCACTTAAAGATCACGCGAATGGCCGTTTTTGGCGCGAAAACAATTTTTTCAAAATTTCTACACTCACTAGATTTTAAGGACAATGTTTTTTCTTCTCAAAACTGTTGTTTAAACCCTTATCTTTTCAACTGTGACCTTATTTTTTCAATTTAAATGCCGTCTGTTTATTTCCCGCGAAACTGGAGTCATTTTGAATGAGCGCGCGCCTGAACCTGCGTTTTTTGCCGCATGCCACAGCACATGCGCAGTCGTTTTTCAGCCCTGCTCATCCGGTCAGCTTTTTATTTCCGGTCTAGTATATAAACCAATTGAGTAAGCATAACATTGCCGTCGCGCCAAGTTTAAAAGCAAAAAGGGCTAAACAGACAAAAAAGGGGGCCAAAAAAATCACTTGTATCTTTGTCTGAGACGGTGTTCCAGGGGCCAAACGTTGTGGTCAACCGATTTGGCTGAAACTTGGCACAGAAGTTGGGTATAATAAGATATTTTAAAAGCCACTTTGGCTCACTTCTCTGAGTTTTAGTTTTGGAGTCTCATTTTTTGCCCTTTAAGCACCAAAAATCCAGCCTTCCAGGGGGCATTTTGAAAGTGTGATAAGACCCCACTAGTAAATTGTGCTGCCAAATGAATTTGACCATGAACTCTACCATAATAGAGCTTTCAGTTCATGCATGTAACTTTGTCCTCAAGGAATTGCATAGAGAGGAGCCTAGGGCTAGAGTTTGGCCAAAATTGATGTTAAAATTACCACCTATAATAGCCATTTTTCAAAATTTCACTTTATTCACCTGCCTTCTTGCATACCGTAAAATTTCGAAAATAAGCCCCTCCATGTATAAGCTCCTCCAAATATAAGCCCCCTAAACTCGTAACGCAAAAAACCCTCCGTTAAATCGCCCCTCCAAATGTAAGCCCCCCGGGGGCTTGTACTTGGAAATTGCCCTCAAATACAAAATAAAACCAGTTTAAAACAGTAAATTCCCTTCCAACTATAAGGCTACCCCAATTAAGTTTGAAACGCAAATTTCCCTCCATAGATAAGCCCCTCCAAAAATAAGCCCCTCAAAAAGGGCCTTTGAAAAACATAAGCCCCAGGGCTTATTTTCGGAATTTTACGGTAACTTCCAAACCTATACCACTGTTTACTTTAGTCACCCAGTTATCAAAATCAGTTGAGAAAAATTTGGCTTATTATGGTTTATTGAATTTTTGGAACAAACACTTCATGCCCCTCTAAGGCGATGCAAATGGAATTTTGAGCCTAATTCAGGTCATAAACAAACCAAATTGTTAACAAGAAGCCCTTATTCTGTAACTGGTAAGTGAAAATGAATTGTCAAAGCCAAATCAGTTTTGTTGTTTAGAAATACACCGATTCTTACCTTAAAATTGATCTAAAACGGGCCTCTGATTAGCGCAACAAACACATAATTTAGCAAAACAAAGGTGATTTTATTCTTTGAAAACCTAGTAACCACCATAGAACACAAATGATGATGTTCTGATGTACATATAACAATCTTTTTACAAGATGCTTAAATTTTTCTTTGATTTATAGTCAGTTTCACGTCATATTTCTAAGCATTACTCCAAGTCTCCATATTTTGTCAGGCCCATTTTTTTTATATTTTTCCAGATAAATTTAGCTTATCAAAAGGTTCGTTAACATACAATCTTCGTCTGACCTTGTAATAGCCTGAATAGTTGTTGTAAATACCCATCAGCAAAGGAGCATGACCATACATACGTAGCCTACACAGACATATATGAGCTTCAGTGAGCAGTATCGAGGTGAACTGTGATTTTCCGAGTGCTTTAGAGCTGAAAAAATGAAACCATCCATCCACGGTTAGGAGAGCTGGATAACAAAAAGCTTGTTTTGCTTTTATAAAGAAAATAACCCAAACAAAGCCCTTGCATTGAGATGATGCACTTGTTATTACATCAAGTTAGCTGGCCTGCCATTTTGGACTTGAAGAGTGTGGGGACTGGACCGAGTTCCCGTCCAATCCTTCTCCCGTTTCGTGGGAATTTTTTTTGTTTTTCGTCAGGTGTGTTCGAAATTTTAGAAAGCGATCTGTTTCAGGATAATTTTTCGATGGCACTTTATTCCTTTGGAGGGGAAAATGACCAGTGCGGTGTCACGACATGGCCTGTGCAAGAAACAGGAATGCTTCCTTTGTTGTCTTGCCATAGTGACATGCTGCATGGTTAAAGCACAAGTAGAAGGGTTCAGGTGTGTCCCGGGGGAAGAAGAGGAAGAACTGGTGATGCCAAAACTACAGGTGATTCAAAATATCAGTTAGGGATCATATACGCGCACAAATGGCTTTTATCGTGATCTAGGGGACTCCTCTGACTGAAGAGAGATTTAGAGACGACGATATGTAATTTACGATATTGTCGTCTCAAATTGTTTGTTTATGGTTGATTGATTCCCATGTTAATATCCTGGGTCCTTATGAAGAGCACTAAACATTCATCAAATTTGTCCAAAAAAAAAAAAGTACGATAATCTAGACAAATCTGGGTCTGGGTGGACTGAGCCCTCTCTTGGTTGATAGGAATACAGAAAAATAAAAATGTTTTTTCAACTGCTCGAGCTGCTTGTTTACATTAAGCTTGTCACGTGCACACGCTTATCTTGCAATGCACAATTCCATTATTTACCCTTTTTGTCGAAGATCTTTGCAAACATGCTGCATCTAAGTTTTTCGATGAAATTGACATTTTCGGGGAGAAAATGTCACTAAAACGTCGTCGCAAAATCGACCGCATTAGTTGATATTATTGGATTTGCTTGGAATAATGCATAGGCAATGAAAAAACACATGTTGTACTTGAATGGGAACTGACTCTGAATCGTTCTGGAAGAGCGCGGAAGATTTGTGTATATTTGTACAAAAAATTGTTTCATTATTTAATTAAAAAATTATTTAGAATAATGTTAACTATTCAGTTAAAAGAATTATGAAAAAATATACCTAAATAAGAGTGTTATCTGCTAAAATTCTCTAAAATTCCCTAAAAAAACTCATAAAATTTTCATTCTTTTTTGATAGCGAGGGCCTCTTTTGGTGAATAACCGCTGATCAGTTGTAGTGTAGATGACTCTGATGAAAAACTGCTGATTTGTTGTGCTCAGTGAACAGTACTCTAGACACTGTTGTAGCATGTGGGTGGACTGAGCCCTCTCTTGGTTGGTAGGAATACATAAAAATAAAAACTTTTTTCAAAGTTTCTGCCTGTGAAGTGTTATATATTGCTATTCAGTATTCTCCTATATATACTGCTATTTAAGTTCTAGTATTTGTCAATTTTTTTCTAATATTCTTGCGATTTTCTAAAATTCTTTTTCGTGTCTAAAATTTCCAAAACAATTCCTACGGAATTATGTAGCTAAGCCTATTTTAAGTTGACTTGTCTTCGACGAAACAGGCAAATAAAGGAGACCGGTGGAGTTTCAATGCAAGCTGGCTCGAATTGTGCATTGCCCAACTTAGCCTTGCTTGATAAGCATGCCCAGGTGAAAAGCTGAATGCAAACAACCAGCTCGAGCAGACAAAAAACAGCCTTCGAGTTATTTCTATTATAATTGTTATTGTTATTTTTTTTTGATAAAGATATTGCTGCGAGGTCGGCATTATATTCTACCCACCAAAACCACATCGATCGAGAGGGACTGAGATTGAATTTTGGCCACCTTGTGACATGTTTACCAATGAAAGATACCTACGATGTTTCTCGGGGATTCGCCTTTCTTTTGCTCTGAGCTTACTATATTTGGGAGATCGCGTTCTCGCCAACAAAGGGTGAATATAACGAGTATAACTGTATTTTGGCAAATATTGTACATGAAGTTCAGCTGGAAGTTTTAAAACATGTTTCAGATATTTCATGGGCCTACGTGATACACATCTATCCCCGAACACTGTTGGTGGTTTTGGTGGAAGTTGGAGTCTACATCCACCAAAACCACTCGACCTGTCCAGACCGCACATATGAGCCCTTACCTATAACGACTATAACCATTGTTAAATCTCCAAAGAGGCAAGGGTTTTAATTTTTTTCAGGCGCATAGTTACGCTTCTGCAAAATATTGACGGACTTTTTAAGACCATACTCACAAAGCATAATAATTATTGACACAAACAAAATTTTAATCATGGTTTTTATATAAGTTGTTATATTATTTACTCATAAAAATATTTTATGTTTTATTTTTATTATTATTATTATTATTATTAATGTGCACTTGTGAGCAGCACACTTACACTTCCAGCGAACATTTTCACTTGGAAGAAGGAGAAACCATGCTCGCCCGGGGCAACGAAAATTTTCGTGCCCCATGCGAGAATCGAACTCGCGACCTTCCAAATCCCGTCATTCCCGGGAAACAAACAGGAACATCATGGCGGGAATTTTAAGTTACGAACCCGCGTTCGATAGGAAAATTGCTGAGATTTTTGGATATGTTTCTTCTTCCAAGAGGCTTATAAACTCATCGCAGAGTTTGAAACGAGATCGACGACCAAGTTTTCCTGCTTCAAGGTGGACAAAGATTTTGGGAACATTGGTGTGTATCTAAGGTTCATCTATTACTGCGCTTTTGACAAACATGCGAAATCTGAAGTTCCGAAGCCAACTGACGATTGCGTTTTTCGCTGCCGTCAATCATTTTAACGGACCTCTTAGGAAACAAAACTTTACTTTAACGGGTTCAAAAGGTCAAGGTTTGTGATTTGTGGGTTTCGATCCGTTTTGTGTGTTTCTGTGTTTCAAGGTTCGTTGCTTGTGTTCGTACTTATTATTGACGGCAGCGAAAAACGCAATTGTGAAGGCGGCTTTTGAACTTTAGAGTTAGCATGTTTGTGAAAAGCGCAGTAAAGCTTTATGTACATTCATAATTCTTACAAATTTAGAATTTTGGAAGTCAATATATATACACTGCTAGCAGAGGTT